TGCTGTGGTACACAGGTGAAAAACTCTGCTTTTGATGTTACATGTAAGATTTGAAGTCATTCCTGTGTGAATCTGATTTTTCTCTTGGAACAACCTGGGACAGTGCTACAGCTTACTGTCACCTCTGTTCTGTTTCCTGGCTATACTTTTTGCCCATCGTCTAAGTGCTTTCTTACTGGAATTTGGGAAGTGGGTCATATATGTGGCCTGTGAGGGAGTTAGGAGGACTGTGGGTGAATGTTTGTATAGTCCTTCTGGACTGAACATTTATTTCAGGGTTCTCTGCAACTGGTGGTTCTCTGAGGCTTAGGAGGGAAGATAACTTTCTGCTGCTTACAGTTGTTGGGGGAATTCACAATTAAAAAAACCCCAAAAAAACCCAAGCCTAAAAAAAGGGGTAGTTGTGAAGCTACAAAAAATAGAGCAAAAATCCACTATTTAAAAAGCCCAGCTTTTGAGGCATACAGTTACTTGCTACAAGCTCATCAGTAAGGAATTTTCCACACAGCTTCAGCAGGTGGAATGGTAACTGTGGAATCTGGAGGGCTAACTTTGACCTGTTCAAAACAAATTCATGTGGGAGGCTGCCCTGAAGGATATGGGAGTCCAGGAAGGCTGGACATATTTCAAGATTAAAGTCTTTAAAGGCATGGGAGCAGGCTGTTCCCATGTGCCGAAAAATAAGCAGGTGGTGAAGGAGACCGGTCTGGCTAAACAGGGACCTTTGGCTGGATCTCAAGAACAAAAGGACGATCTATAGCCTTTGGAAGAGGGGCCAGGTCTCTCATGAAGATTATAAAGATGTAGTGAAGTTATGCAGGGAGAACATTAGGAGAGCCAAAGCACAGCTAGAGCTCAACTTGGCTACAGCTGTTAAGGATAATAAAAAATGTTTCTATAGATTCATTAACAGCAAAAGGGGGATTAGGGAAAATCTCCCTCCTTTACTGGATGCAGAGGAAAACATGGTAACTAAGGCTGAGGAAAAGGCTGAGGTGCTCAATGCCTACTTTGCCTCAGTCTTTAGCAGTGGAACTGGCTGTTCCCTGGACACCCAGCCTCGTGAGCTGGGAGATGGGGAGGGGAAGCAGATTGAGGTCAGCACAGTTGAAGAGGAGGTGGTCAGAGACCTGCTACACCACTTGGATGCACACAAGTCGGTGGGACCGGATGGGTTACACCCAAGGGTGCTGAAAGAGTTGGCAGATGTGCTCGCCAAGCCACTGTCCGTGATTTACCTGCAATCATGGCTAACTGGGGAGGTCCCATTGGACTGGAGGGTGACAAATGTGACACCCATCTACAAGAAAGGCATCCTGGGTGCCATTAAAAGTCATATAATGGACAACCAGGGGATCAGGCCCAGTCAGCATGGGTTTATGAAAGGCAGGTCCTGCTTGGCAAACCCGATCTCCTTCTATGACAGGGTGACCTACTTACTGGATGAGGGAAAGGCTGTGGATGCTGCTTACCTTTACTTTAATAAGGCCTTTGACACCGTTTCCCACAGAATTCTCCTGGCAAAACTGGGTGCTCGTGGCTTGGATGGGCTCGCGCTTTGCTGGGTAAAATCTGGCTGGATGGCTGGGCCTAAAGAGTTGTGGTGAATGGAGTTCTGAGGACAAGAAGGCTGCATACGCAAAGGTATCTGTCTGCTGGAGAAGTAGGAACAGCAGATGATGTAGATGAGATGAGGTGATGGGTTTGCAGAAGAGGCTTAGTTTCTCTTTATCAGTAACACTTTCATTATGTGATTTGTCTGGAAAGCTGAAACACAGAGACATGGCAGAAGGACGAATCTGGAATGGATTGAAGGAGGTACAGGAGCAGGTAGTCTGACAGTTTCTGTAGAGTCTACTGGAGGCTTTAGCACAGTAGTACTTTGTTGTGTGAACTTTATCCTGAAATAATAGGGTGTGCTAAGGAGAGAGGGAGAAAGTGGAGAAATATCGTTCTTATTTCTGGCTTTCAAAAAGAGTATATGAGAAAGTGTTTCTTTGTTACTTCTCTGTCTTTTCTCACGGCAGAGAGCTGTGAGAAGTTAACTGCTGTGGAATGGGAAAGCTGTCTCTATAAAATGAAGTAGAAAAGAGAGGAGAGTTCCTTGGAAATTTAGAAGATGCTTTCTTTAGAAGCTCAAAGGTATGTGGTAGAGAACTTATGCAACATTTCTGGGTGATGATGTATAATTTCCTTGAAAAAGGGAAGCTGACATCATTGACTGGAAGTTTTCTTTATTTTTTCACTGGAGTAGCAAAGCAGGGAAGTAGAAGTGTCCAATCTCTGGTTTTAAATATGAGAGGACAACAGTTCCCCTGAAAGGATAACATTTTCCCTGTCTTCTGCTGCTTGCTGCCAAGCCGTTGTTTCACCAGCTAGCGAGAGTGCGTTGAAGAGGACAGCACTCCCCCAAGCCAAGCAGAAGCTGTGGAGGGAAAATGTGTTTTCTTTTCAGCTCTGCTTTTGTCCAGTCTCATTTCTGGGCTTGAAGAAGGAACAATCTCTCAACTCCACCCTAACTCTTATGACTAACTGAAAGAAAGCAAAGACGTGGAGAGTTTACATGCATCAAAACCCAGGCTTAGGAAGTTGTAAGTGTTTGGCTGAGGAGTGGTGGCTGTCCTTGCTCACTTTCTTAGTTCCCAGCAAATGACTGCTTTCCTCACAGAAGAGAGTTATGTTACCTTGTTCTTGTCAACAGCCACTGTGGTTTAGCTTATGCATGCTGACATTAAACCATCACATCTTGGTTGTATCTGTGAGCTGAAATTACTGAGAGGTAGAATTTCACAGTGGGTAGAGCAGGGACTTTTCCTCCATGCTAGGAAAACTATAGGTCCTTAGGCAGTGAGAGATGATTTCTTGAGGAAAAAGCGCTCCTATAAATTGTCTTTATGAAACAAAAGACTCCAACAAGACCCCAAGCTTCATCAGATCAAAACAGTGTTTCATCTTGCCCAGCATTTTGCCTTCTTGTGGTCTCCAAACACAAATTTTGGAGCTCATTGGGTTCTTCTCTTTTCTGGAAATTGTTAACTGAGATGAGTGGAAAGAGGTGCTACTACTGGAGCGGTGGGAGCAAATGAGATGTTTGAGTCTGTCTGAAAAAGATAGAAGACAAAGAAAGGCAGGTAGGTTGTGTTGAAAAGATGTGGGAGTGATAGCTGAGCTCTCTGAGCCCTGTTTACTTTTTCCAGTTCCCATGCCTGGAAAAGGCCATAGCATAAATGAAGACAAGAGAAAGTAGAAACTGTAACAGCATGAGAAGAATACTTTCATGGGCAAATTGCAAACAATTTGGGTAGTCCATGAGAAGTAAGACATGGAGAAGACCTCCTGTGTGTGCAGTTCTGTACGCAAGCACATAGAAGTGTGTTTCCCATTGCTTGCCTTCAGCCTCCTGTTTGAGAAAGTCTTTGTTTCTATGGTGTGGCACCAGGCAGAAGAGCAGGATGCTGGCAAGCACTATTTGCTGATGAGAAACATAATCTTAATGACTAGCCCGGCTGACCTCCCAACTGCTTTCAATATGGAAAGGAGCCAGGATGTGAAGCAAGATGGGCTGTAGTTTGTTTTCTGGACTCATACACAGTGAAGGGGAGTGACTTGGTTTGATGTGATAAAGTTGTAGTATCCACACTGATTTATGAACAGTAGTAAGTTTTCCTACGATGATGACACGAGAAGCAAGGAAAGCACAGAATGTTATAGGGATTGGTGGGTTCTTGACTTGATGCCGTTTAGGAATTTAAAAAAAAAAAAATCAAACCCAAACCAAATCCCAAATAGTAGCTGTCACTTGGGAGCAGTTGGCTTGAGGAGTAAGCTTCTGAAATATTTTTCTTTCACCGTGCACTGTTACTGTTTAAAGGGAACTTTTCCATGGTGCATGTTGGGAATCTTGCCTTAAAATGAGACCTTCTATATGTTAATCATGTCCTTCCTTCAATGTATTAGTAAAAAATCACTAGCTACCACGGAGCGGGATTGAGTCCTTAATGCAAGTGTAACTTGAACTCAGCATTGACATGTTTTTGTCTGTCTGCATACATGTCTGCTGTGTCAGTAGTCTTGTGATTTTTTTTTTTAAATTTTTTTTTTAGAGCCATTCAGAGCTACTTGGAAGTAGGAGGTGATTGCTAAAGACTGAAGCAGGGACACAGAGGTGCTAATGGCTTACGTGCTAATGGTTTACACTATTTCCCCACAGCAAAATTTGGTCTTATCTGTTACATAAGTAGGTTTTATTTGCACATATGGCTGTTTTTAATAAGAACTAGGGAAAATCTCTTATCCCTTTTTCGTGGTGTTTATTTATACTGAACGTTTGGGTGTCTTTTAGCAGAATATGATGGATATAAAACTGATAGCAGTTAATGTTTCAGACAGTTCCCATTTCTTGCTTGCAGCTCTGCTGTATCTGAGAGGTTGGGATACTGTTTCACACACATTGGCTGTGAAATAAACTTGCTTAAGTGACGTTTCCAAAGGAAATCCCTATATCCCCATGATTTCAGAGCAGGGGCTTTAAACTGAGTAGTAATTTTGTATCAAAAGTCTGCTTTTTACTAACTGTGTGGATATTCATGCTAGAAAATTGCAGTTAATTTGCACAGTGGGAGCTTCAGTGTGGGCATTCTGCAGCAAGATGCTGAGATGGTTTTTGCTGATGATAACAATCCTTCATTTCATCTTTTCCCCCACCCCATGGACAGGAGGCCTAATTCAAGCAAACAGAGGGAAAGTATTCAGGATAGAGTAGCTTAGGATAGGAAGAAAGTCAGGATGATGGTTCTACCTCGGTATAGAATGTGGAAATTGGATCCCTTTGCCGTGCCTGTCACATGATTGTGCAGACAGGTTGGGTTTGGGTAATTCTTAACTGACATATGCCTTCCTTTGCAACATTGTGATGTGCTTCTAACCTAAATTTGACTGTATCTGATACAGCATTAGTCGAGCAATAGTTAAAGTAACTTTTTTCTTTTTTTCCCCTGTAGCACACATCCGCTGTGATGACGTGTTTGGTGTCTTGGGAGAAAATTTTACTTTTCCAGTAAAAATAGACCAAGCAATAATGGAAATTATTTGGACAAAAAACAAGGATAAAGTGGCTGAATGGGAAGGGCAAGGCGAAACGACATATTTTCCTTCTTTCCAGTACAGAAGCTTGCTTAGCAAGGAGAATGGGTCCTTGACTATATTTAACTTGGAATACAGTGATGCTGGCACATATGTGTTAGACTGCTTGGATTCTAGGAAAAAAAATCATGTCTTAACCTTCATACTTGCTGTGTTAGGTAAGTAGTAGAAGAACTGCATGAAGAATTTGCATGACTATTCCCTTTAAGAAGGCTAGAAAGTGGATTGTTTATTTGTCAGTGGAGCAAACAGAAACAGAGGGACCTGTTCTTTTGCTTGTTAACTTGCTTAGGCACTTTTAGAGAAATTTTCAAAAGTGGCATCTAATTTGTGTGCCCTTATTACTCACCTGGGAATGACTTTTAGAATATATGTAGATGGCACACTGTGTACTTTCAGCAGATAATAACTTAGTCAACTTGCTGAAAGAGTTTGGTTATCCCAGGCAGTATATATCTACTAAAGATGCTCATGCAGGCTTATTATACAGGCTTGAATATCTGTGGTATAATCCTGTGCAGATCTACGCAGCTTCACTAGTAGTCTTTGGGAAATATATTTGCCCAGTGTGTATATTAGTCCTATTGATAGTGAAGCATGAGGGATCTCAAACTAGGCACTGCAGAACTACAGACAGGGCCACTTCTAGAAATACATTTCTCATGCACATGTGTGTGCATGCACACACACCTAACACATACATTTTATCTGTACACTTTCCTGCTGCTTTTGTTGCTGCAGCCCTTGTCCTGTGCTAAAATTCAAGGCAGCGTATAACCAAAATAATACAGAATGTTTTCTCTCCTTTTAGCTCCTCCCTCAGAACCTGAGATAAATTGCAACATCACTGGCGATAAACTTGTGTTAAAATGTACAGCAGATTTCCAGAAGCCTCTGAATTATGTTTGGAAGTTCAGTAGCAACAAAAAAACTCATCAGACCCAGGAAGTTTCCACCAATAATAAGGATGTTGACATTTCCGAGAAAGCTGCATATTTCATTAAATTCTCTCAAACGGAAAAGAGCTCTGAAATCTCTTTGATTCAATGCTATCCAGATGGAAAAGGTAATGAATAGGTCGGGCTGTGTATGCAAGTCTGAGAGGTTAGGTTATGAAGCAGCATGGACTTTGAGTCTGTTTCTACTGATTTCTCATGAAGTTGAATTTGAAGAGTAAAAAGCATCAGATGTCATTTTGTCTCTTAAAAGTGTGTTTAAGGATGGTGAAATGTGTGAGGTTAACAGCTTGATCCCCCTTTAGAAATATACTTTTTGCAGGGATCTCAACAGAATAAAACCTTCAGCTGTGATTTGAAATGAGTAACAATAAAGAGGGAGACAACACTTAGAAGATCTCTTCTGAACCTTCTGGCCTTGTTTAATTAATGCTAATGACTATTATGCTCTTAGTGCTGTTTTCCATGAACTGGAATGAAACTATTCAGTTGTTTTGAGTGAGTCATCTAGAAGTCATTAGATAGATTTCTCATCTAGCGTATGCATGAATCAATAAGCATACTTTTTTTCCTCCTTCACAGATAGACATAAAAAAGAGAAAGGAGAGTTTTCCTGCTGTTGCTTATTGCTTTGGGACTGCCTCAGCTGAGCTTGCTTTTTTTTTTTTTTTTTTTTTTAAACATAGGATGAGAATATGTTTGGAACCATCTGTGTAAAGGAACTGACAAAATTTCCCACTTCTGTGCAAAAGTAATTTTCATGGTTTACCAGTGTAAATTCCTTCACTGGAATTATGTATTAAAGACTTGTTGGAAATGAGGCATGTGGTAGGTTGACCTTGGCTGGCTGGCAGGTGCCCGCCCAGCTGCTCTATCACTACAACAGAACAGGGGGCAGAAAACATGACAAAGCCTTGTGGGTCAAGATAAGGACAAGGAGATGACTCAGCATTTAACCATCATGGGCAAAACAGTCTTGACTTGATGAACATTAGCTTAATTTATTGTCAATCAAAATCAGAGTAGGATAATGAGAAACAAGAACAAATATAAAACTCCTTCCCCCCACACCTCCATTTCTCCCAGGCTCAACTTCACTGCTGATTTCTCTATCTCCTCCCCTTGTGCAACACGGAGAGATAGGGATTGGGAGGTGCAGTCAGTTCATTACATGTTACCTCTGCAGCTCCTTCTTCACACTCTTCCCTGGCTCCTGTGGGGGGGGCCCCACCCATGGGAGGCAGTCCTTTGTACACTTCTCCAATGGGGTACCTCCCCACAGGCTGCAGTTCTTCATGAACTGCTGCAGTGTGGGTCCTTTTCATGTGTCCTTTCCACAGGGTTCTGTCCTTCACAGGTCTTGCCAGTAAACCTGCTGCAGCGTGGGCTCCTCTACAGGGGGGTCACAGGGCCTGCCAGGAGCCTGCTCCAGCGCAGACTCTCCACAGGGTCACAGCCTCCTTTGGGCACATCCCCCTGCTCTGGCTTGGGGCCCCCTGTGAGCTGCAGGTGGAGATCTGATGCCCCGTGGGCCTCCCTGGGCTGCAGGGCACAGCCTGCTTCACTGCGGGCTTTGCCAGGTGCTGCAGGGGAATCTTCTCCTACACCTCCTTCCCCTCCTTCTTCACTGGCTTTGGTGCCTGCAGAGTTGTTGCTCTCACATACTCTCACTCCTCTCTCCAAGCTGCTGTTGCACAGCAGTTTTTACCCCTTTTTGAATATGTTATTGCAGAGGTGCTACCTACAACACTGACAGGCTCAACTTTGGCCAGCGGCAGGTCTGTCTCGGAGCTGGCTGGAACTGGCTCCATCCATGGGGGCAGCTTCTGACATCTCACCAAAGCCACTCCTGTAGCCCCCCTGTTACCAGAACCTTGCCATGCACATCCGATGCAAGACACTTGCTGAAGTTTCATTTGGCTGAAATCTTTCTCGGCCTTTCGTAGGCCAAAAAAGAATCACTTTTCAAGTGGATGATGTACCTTTGCTGAACTAAGGTACTTACCACGTAACTTTCCTGGAGCTGACTTAAGGTTTTGCTAATAACTGACTCTGGTGCGTTAGTTTTTTGAAGTTACTTTTTTAAAAACAAATAGCTGTAAAACATACTCAGGGTTATATTTCTGCTTAGGGTTTTGCTGATAACTGACTCTGATGCATTAATTTTTTGAAGCTACTTTTTAAAAACAAATAGCTGTAAAACATACTCAGGGTTGTATTTCTGCTGAAGTAGTGTATCACATAGTTGTTTTTTAAATAACTGATCATTATTTATTTTATTTTATTTTAAAGGAGACAGCTATAACAAAAGAAGCAGAGGTGCTGTTATTGCGGTTTCCGTTCTCTTCATTGCAGCTGTAGGAATAGCAGTAGCAGTATACCTATACAGAAAAGGTTTGTATAACATTTCCTAACTGAATCTAACATGCTTTGAAATTATGCTGATCTGAGGTTCTGTAGAATGTATGAAAGTTTCTGGTTGTGGGATGTATTGTAAATACAGTAGTAGAAACAAGTACCCCATAGGCAACGCCTAAGGGATCTGAATGAAAAAATACACTGAGCTTTCTTGCTCTTGGACATTGGGCTCTGTGTACTGGGAAACACTGTAGCTTGTATTTGCATGTTTCTCTCTTAGACTGAATATTTAATTTATGGTGTGTTTCTACTTACCAAGTATCTATGGCCTCTCCCATTCCTACTTGAGTGTGCTTTCACTGTCTTTTTGGAGAGCATCATGAAGCTGCCCTCAAGAGCGGATTTATTGCTGAGACAGGCTCTTACCAGGGCCTGTTGAATACCTTATACTGAATCTAATCTGACAACTCGATGTGCTCAACTGATACATAGGGACTTCTGAGACTCCTGTCAACCTGTATTGCCATCATCTCGGAGTTCTAGATTTGTATCTTGATACATCCCTACACTGAACTCAGGTACCTTTTTTGTAAATCTGATGGCTTACATGGTAACTGTAGGCTATCACTGTGTATCTGTTGCTGCCACCTTTTTAGGTTAATATGTCAGATTGTATTCTGGCTTGAAAAAGAGGTGCACACCATCTTTTCTCTTTGTGTTTGAGAGAGTCCCAACCAAGAATACATTGCCTCATCCTAAGGGTGCTCTACATGGAAAATTCCTGTTGGCTTCCAGGTGGGTCCACCCCTTGGGGGTGGCTGCAGGGTGGAGAGGATGGCATGCATTGTCGCCTCTCTGGGAAGGACCGATTGATGATATTGTGGAGGGAGGCTCTGATCAGAGCATGCATAGGTGTATATTGCATGAGGACCTTATGCTTTCCTGATCATTCCCCATTTAATTTCTGTTGGCATGGAATCATAAAATAAGCTAGGTGGGAAGGAATTTCTGGAGGTTCCATCCAACTTGCTGCTCAGAACAGGACCATCTTCAAAGCTAGAACAGGTTGCTGAGGGCCTTGTCCAGTCAAAACGTTGAACAATTCTAAGGATGGAAGTTCCCCAGCCTCTTTCAGCCTGTGTTCAAGTGCTGAACCACCCTTGTGGAGCAGGATATTTCCCTTATTTCTGTTAGGGATTTCTCTTTCGCAACTTGCAGCCATTGCTTCCTGTCTTTGTTTTGTACTTACGAGAGGAGTTTCCTTTGTTTTCTATGTAAGTTATTTGTAGACTGCAATTAGCCACTCCCTTAGCCTTTTTTTGCCTTCAACTGAACAAACCTAATTCTCTCAATACCTCCTTGCACAGCTCCTGCCCCTTCAACATCTTGGTGGACATTTGCTGGACTAACTTCAGAATGTCAGTGTTTTTTCCTGAACTGAGAGCCTAAAACTAGACACAGTACTCCACATGTGGTGTCTGACTAGAGGGGAAGAATTATTTCTGTCAATGGGCTGACTATGCTTCTGCTAACACAACCCAGTATCTGGTAGATTTCTACTGCAGGGGCATATTTTTGACTGATGTTCAATTCAGCATCCACCAAGGCTTCCAGGTCCTTTTCTGCAGAGCTATTTTCTAGCCAGGCAGTGCTCAGCTTGTGCTGTTCTGTGGGGCGCTTTCAAGAGGCGCAGGACTTTTATGTTTGCCTTTGAACATCACATCTCTTTTGCCAGCACATTCTTCCAGGTTACTGAAGTCCCTCTGAGGGGCAGCCCTGTCTTTCAGCACGTCCCCTACTCTTCCCAGCTTCACATCACCTGCAAACTTTCTGAGGGTGCCTTCTGTGCCCTTGTCCATGTTGGTGAAGTTGAACAAAACTATGTTTGGTATCAATATGAGAAGAATCTCACTCAGAACTGGCCATCAGTTAGACTCAAAACAATTCAGCTACTTTCCTTGAAACAGCAAAGGTTTGACCATGCTAGAAAATAAATTTCTCATAGCTTGGTAGAATAAGCACTGTACAGGTATAATCAAACAGAAGATTCGATTTGCTGATGCAAGTACAAGACTCAGAATCCTAAATTGCTAAGCTCTGCTTTGGATTTGGTTATATGTGTTCTGACTTTTTGTTGCAGGAGGCCCATTTTGTTGATTTCTCATGATTGCTTTTGCCCCCAAACAATATTTCACTCTTTCTACTTTCCCAAGTTGACTATTCAGTTGCATGTCCTCATTTTTTTTTTTTTATTTAGGTTGGGCAGGAGTATGGTTGAATGGATGGAGGCTGTCAGATAGTTTCCAAAGGTACCAAACTTTATTTCAGAATAATTTTTCCAGGTATTCTATTTGTTTTGGTGCAGGTAGAACTAAACTTGGAACAGAAAAAGCTGCTCAGAACAGTCTCGCACCTGGCTCAGGTAAGAGAGTTAGTGTCATAAACGTGTGGAAATCAGACTATTGCTTTAGTTTGGTCTATATAGGCTTGTAATTTTTTTCTCTGTCGGTATAATCTTGCATTGGAGAGGTAAAGGAGTAAGTTTTCTTTCAGGTCTTAGTTGTTTTACAGAATGTAGTTATTTTTTCCAGGTCGTTAATACATACTTTCAAAAATAAATAAATTTTGTTATAGAAGATCGGCTGCTTTGCCCTGTGGACAGACAAGAACAGCCTAACTTAGAGAGAGGTAAGAAACCTGTATTGGTCTTTAAATGTTTCTAAACATCTGCTGTTGGTTGGAGCAAAGAGTCTCATCTGCTCTTTCCATTTTTTCTGAGGGTCAAAGCTTTTGAGTTGATTTTCATTGTGTGCACATGTGGCCGCAGGGTCTCAGCTGAGGTCCAATATTGGATAAGCATAGGGACCTGCACTTAGTGGGGCTGGCAGAATTACTGACAGTGAATGGCCTGAGATTTTCCTGGTCAGCAGATCTCTCTGGAGGTGAATGCCTCTTCTGACAATGGAGAATGGGGGCTGGTCTCAGGATGAGGCCTGAAAAAGCACACACTATAGGCCAAACTGTCTGCTGGAGAACTTACTCTTTAAGTAAGTTCTTTCTGTTTGGTTAGGGCTGGTTTATGTGCTAAACTGAGGTTAATATTTCTTCTACCTCTTTTAATCTTACCTGCCTGTCCCATTTATATAAACTCCTCTCAGAAATTTGGTTGATTATTTTTCTAAACCCAGTATTCATACCAAGTGCTTAGGGCTGGGCATGAATGCAATACATTGTTCATTCATTCCCAGTGTTCCCTATGGAAATTTCTTGCTGGCCTATCTTGGAAGTTGGGCAGCTAGCCTTTTTCTCTGTGTATTGAATTTAACTTGGAATGCTGGTGGCTCCAGGGAGTGGGGGTTGATGCTGTGCATATAGCAGTAGATTTAATAATGATTCCTGAAGGTATTATCACATCAGACTGGCAGGAGTTTGCTGTTAGTTTACCTTGGTAATATCTTGAAAATCCATGCAAGGACTGGTGAAGACAGGCACATTGCTAGTCTGGTGTGCAGAACTCTGGTCCTTGCTTTTGGTGCATGGCTCTGGTGCACACTTACATCCTATGGGTCAAGTTGCAATTGTCTGCTTTTCTTTCTCTAACACCTCTCAGTTGTTTCTGGAAAAAAATCTGTCAGCAGCACCTTTTCGTTCACTCTTACTCCATTTTGCAGGCCTGTGTTCTCCTTTTAATAGTCAAGATGAGGGAAGGAGACAGTGGAGGAACTTCTCATGTCTTTCCATTAGTTACCAGTCTGCTTCCCACCCATGATTTCTGTACGTGATGCTTTTCTGCAGGCAGTACAGATTCTCAGGGTTGTCTGCATTCCTGTCTTCCCATCCACATCTCCACTTGTTTCTGCTGTCTGTTCTAATCCTGCATTATTTTTGGAGGTTGGGTTTATTGGGTTTTTTTGGGGGGGAGAGGGCATTCCTTCTTTAATTTGCAGCAAGCTTGTTCACTTCTCCAGCTTTGGATCTGTGTGTTGGGATGTTTGAATCACTATAGCATGAGCAGCTAAGGAAGGGGACAACTCGTTTTGTCTGTGCTCCTTTCACAAGGGTGAATGAGGCTAACATGTTCCAACTCTATGTATGCCTCGTGTTGCCAGGACCACTGTGGTCTGTTCTTACAAACCAAACTAAATTAGCCCCTAGGCAGTCAAGCAGATGAGGGAGAGCAGGGGAAGGATCTTAAAAAACACTTTGTTCTGAAGGTCACCAGACCAAATACTGTTTCAGTGGGAAGTGCCCAAAGCTCCTGCCATCAGATACAACCTCAGTGCCCTCTTGGAGTGTTCCGGTGTTGAACTAATGGTGGTAAGATACGCAGTCTGGTATCTTACACGAGCTACTAGAGTTAGCATAAAGCTGGAGTAGAATGTTTCTGGAATTCCAAACTACTGTGTCACCTTTGCAGAGATTTTCTGTATGTTTAATTTCTTAAGGTGTTCTTTAATTTCTGAAGTTTCTTAATGGTTTTATGGGTTTGGAGGTTATAAAACCTGATGAGGTTCTTTGTGATGGGCCTGGAAAAGATGCCACAGGTAGAGAGGCAGCACTATGAAAGCAGGTCTTTAGGAGGTTTTTGTTGCTGGGTTTGGGTTTTTCTCCTCCCTTTCTACCCACTCTGCCCCAGCATATCAAAGTCTTATGAACTTTTCAGTAGGATTTTGGATAAAGAACTTGATTTTTCTTCTGATATTTTCATACAGTTGTTAAAGCTGTGGTTCTAGTCCATGTTTCAGAGATCACTGAAGTCTAGAGACTATGGATGGATTTGAAGGTGAAAAAAGGAGGACAGGAAGAAAAAAAAAACACAAAAATTTACTTTAGAATGGCCCATGTTTCCATTAAAGATTCTTTAAGCTCTGCAAGAGAAAGGGTTTAAAGTCAGTGTGTTACTGCAACAAATAGATGAAGTAAAAAAAGGAGATGTGAATTCTCGGCTGTCTCTGGCTTATTGTGGCAGATCTGTTCAGCTTTATCACCTTAAGTCAGCCCACTTCAGAAAGATTTGGTAAAGCTGTAGGCATAAGTAGAGATAATGTTGGTTATGATCTGCGACCTTAAGTGGTTGCTGAAGGGAAGTTCAAATTAATTGTGAGTCCTTTGATAGAGTAGCATAAACATATCGGTTCTCAGGAGTATCTGCTAAAAGTATTACAATGAAACTTTAAGTCCAAGTTGCGTATTCTGCAGATTATTGTGCTGTCTCCATAGACATTTCTAAAAATTTTTTCCGTTTGCTTGCAGCCATATCTTCACAAACTGTTGACTGTGAGAATGAAAAGCCTAAAGCAGGTAAGAAGTGAGATGGTGCCCTAAAACAGGGTGACATGAAGTGGGGAATTAATTTTTCATGTGGCCTTTCGCAGTCCAGAACATGTGAGCATGCTCTCAGTGTAGAGATTCCCATTCCCCTGATGGCCTATAAAGACCTATTGCCTCAGGAACAGTAGATGTTGATGGGTAGATCACTGGATGAGAAGTCAGAAAGACCTGGATCCCCTTGTGTGTGTTAAACAGCACTGAGCTGGATGATGATGAGCTTCCCTCTTGGTATGGTGAGAATGGTGCTGCATGCTGTGTTTGCAAATCACTTTACCATCTGTGGAAAGAAGAACTAAGCTGTGAGCAAACCTCTTCTTATAGTAAATAAATAAATTACCCTTTTGTCTGTTACCGTTTATTTGCATGCAAAAGAGTACAAGAACATTTTTATAGTATGTTGTCATGGGCAGGTGATCTTTGCTTTCTGCTGGAAAGAAACCCTCAAACAGGACCCAAGATAAGAAAATGCTGCATCTTCAAAGCTTTATTGGTATTAATGACAAATAGATCTGAGGCTCAACGCATCAGTTTCGAGATGGGATGCTTACAAGCTTGCAAACTGTTAATTTGGGAGATCCATCAGGCTTCTTTCCTTAGAGAAGCACCATTTATGGATGTGGTATCTTCCACTTACTTTTGCTCTAGGAAGGTTTTTGTCTGCATTCAACAGGCAGCCAAGCAAAGCCCCAGTTTTGTGTTCTTAGTACAGCTGGTTTAAATTTCAAGGAAATTCTGGGACCTGTATTTTTTCCTAGTTCATTTTGCTCCAGAGGGATAGTGTTATATGAACATTATAGTTCAAGTCAGCAAAAAAATGTGGGTTTTTTTTCCCCCAGGCTGTTGCACTGATGATTCATTCACTCGCTAACTCTTCCACCATTTTCCATGAGTAGCTGATAATATAGGGGTTGGAGAAAGCAGAAGTTTTTTCCTGATTAAGGGAAAAATTGCTAATGATGGCAATAAGGAAAAGGAAACCCAGAAGCCCATGGGTTTTGCTACTTATTCTTTCTGCATGAATTGTAATGAACATAGAAAAGCTTTCCTCATGTGAAGAAATAGGTTGTGTAGCTGATGGTGAATGTGTGGTTCACTGTGGGGTTGTCTTATTGCTTGTGTAACTATTTCCACGTACATAGACATGGATATAGGAGAAGGAGGTTTATTTTATGCCTGTCTTATTTTATGCCGGAAAAAAGGAGGAAAACGTACAGTTCAGACAAAAGAGAATCAGGTCCATAGATAAAGGTTATCTGGACACTAGAGGAACAAAACAAAATGCTTTAATTTGTTGCAGTATAGAATGGGAACATCAGGAAGGGGAGTCATTGCAGTTTTGTGCAGAACCTGCAGCACCTAGGTAGCACACAATCACTGCTGTACAGATGGGAAGCAGTAGGCAAGGCTATGATGTTCTCTGAAATGTGTGTATAAAGCAATTTTAAATGAGGCTTCTACTGGTAGCACAGCAGTACGTAACAGTTGCAGAGGAGAAGGTGTGCTGCTTAGCTCTGAACAGCGCAGAACAATGACCTGTGCTGGTGTGAGGAAGAAGCAATGGAGTGTGCTCCTGAGGGACTGTAGCTCTTCTCTGACCTCTCTTCAAAGAACTGAACAAGGAGAACAGTGCCCTGAAAGACAAGCAGACAGTTAACAGTGGTGTAAGTTAGGAAGGTAAATTGTATGTTGTATGGAGCAGTTGGTGCTAGTGACCCAATGGGCAAACTGGCCAGCATCCCTTGGAGGTGAAGGCTCAGAGTGACTTCTGTGTAATGTTTCTCACTGGAGGTATTGGGGGAATTGTGCCATGAAAGCTGAATCCGTCTCCTCGGTGCAGACATTTTGGGAGCAGAGTTAACCAACTTTCAGGCTGTGTTTTTACCACTCTTGGAAGTAACCACAGCAGAGCATACAGACTTGAAGTACATATGTTCCGGAGATCATTAGGGTTTAAAATAATAAATTCAAAAAACAATCTCAGCCAGAGTGAGAGGGTCATGTAGCAGTCCCTGCTGAAGTGCTGTCTTCTGGTTAACACTGCCTGCTGGAAGATCTCTGCAAAGGGACCTCCAGTCCCCCAGTGTGTGCACATGAAGCACTTAAGTGAGGAGCAAGAGTTGATGTGACAAAGAGGAAGCTTTGCCAACAGGAAGCTTGTTCTCGAGAGATTGCTGCTGTGTGAAATGGAGTCAGGCTGTCCTTTACTGTCTCTGGGGGAAGGCAGTACTCTGTGTGTCTCTCTCTTTAACCTCCCTGACATCTGCTGGAAATCCAAGACAACAATTCAAGCAGTCAGGAAGATTTCTGGGCAGCGCTGGGGACAACTTCACACAGGCTACCGGACGCACCAGTGAAGACTGACGTGCAGCTGTAACTGCTGCTCGCTGACAGAGGACTGGATGGGGATGTGGTTACAAATGGCTGCCTTGGCTGTAGTGACCAAGAAACAGATCCTGAGAGGAGTGAGGAAGGTAAGCATCAGGGTACAGGCCCTGTACTTTCGGAGAGCAAATTTCCACTTATTCAGGAAGATGGTAGGCAGGATATCATGGGAGGCAGTTCTGAAGAGCAAAGGAGCTTAAGGGAGCCATCAGACCTTTAAGGAAGACTTTCTCCTACTGTGAGCACAGGCCATTCCCACAGGCAGGCTAAGCAGGGAACTCCTGACAGGGCTCCAGTGCAAAAGTCACATATACTGGATGTAGAGGCAGGGACAGGCTACAATGGAAGAATTTAGGAGCACTTCCTGGGCAGGTAAGCATGGTGCCAGGAAAGCCAAGGCTTAGGGAGGCTTGAAACCAGTATGGGATGACCAGGAAAATGAGGGCACCTTCTGCTGCTAGGTTATGTGTAAAAGAATAAAGGAGGTAAACATTGGGCTTGTTGCTGAAGAGGGGATTGGTTTAGTGGTATCTGATGCTGACGAAGATCAGGCTAGATGAGCAGATAGTGAGGTAGACTGAAAACTGGCAGAATGACTGAAATCAGAGGGTTATGATCACTGGTATGAATTCTAATTGGAAGCCAGTATCTAGTGGTGTACCCCAGGAGTCAATAGTGGGTCCAGTTGTTTTTAACATCTTTATTAATGATCTGAACGATGGGGCAGAGTATGCCTTCAGCAAGTTTGCTGATGATACAAAACTGGGAGAAGTGGCTGACACACCAAAGGGATCTGTTGCTAACCAGAGGAACCTCAACAGGCTGGAGAAACATTCTGGCAGGACCCTCATGCTATTCAACGAAGGGAAATGCAAAATCCTGCACTGGGGGAGGAATAGCCCCATGCACCGGTAAATGCTGGGGGGCAATCAGCCAGAAAAGCAACTTTTCAGTAAAGGCCCTGGGGTCCTGGAGTATGAGAAAATGAGCTTGAGGAAACAATGTGCCCTTGCAGCAAAGAAGGCTAGTGGTATTCCAGTCTGCATTAGGAGGAATGTTGTCAGCAGTGTGAGGGAGGTGATCTTTTTCCTGTACTCAGCACTGGTGAAGCCACACCTGGAGTCCTGTTCAGGGTGATATAAGGGAGATACAAAGCTACTGGAGAGAATCCAGCAAAGGGCATGTAGATGATTAAGGGACTGGACGTGATCCTGGGCAGCCTGCTGTGGTTGAGTCTGCTTGATCAGGGGCACAGGACTACATGACTTCTCAGGTTCCCTTCCAGCCTCAACCATTGTGTGATTCTGTGGTGTATCTCATAGGAGGAAAGGCTCAGAGAGCTGGCCCTGTTCAGTCTGGAGAAGAGATGGCTCAGGGGGATCTCATCAATGTCTATAAATACCTGATGGGAGCAAATGAAGAAGAGGGAGCCAGTTTCTTCTCAGTTGGTGGCCAGTGACTGGGGAAGAGGCAATGGACACCTTCTAAAACATAAGACGATTCATCTGAACATCAGAAAACACTTTTTTGCTGCATGGGTGACTGAGCACCAGAACACATTGCCCAGAGAGGCTGTGGAGTCTCCATCCTTGGGGATACATTAAAGTCATCCAGACATGGTTCTAGGAAGCCTTCTCTAGCTTCATCTGCTTGAGCAGGGGGTTGGACAAGATGACTTCCAGACACTCCCTCCAATGTCAACCGTTATCTGATTCTCTGATGTCAGATACAGATAAGGCTGAGATACCAAGTGCTTTGCCTGAGTCTTGACAGTCTATGTGGTGTCCTTGCCTAGAGGCAGGTTCAGGGAAGAGAGGATCTGCTAGTAATGAAGAGGATCCGATCAGGGATTTCTGGAGAGACTTTGGCTCAAACCAGTCCATGGGATCTGATGCAAGGTATGCCACAAGACCTGGCAGATGTCATTGTGAGGGTGTTCTTTATCACCTTCAAAAGGCATGTTGGAGAAGATCTGTGACAATCAGAAGAAGGGAAACATTGCAGCTATCTTCTGAAAATGCTAACAGGTCTATCTGGAGCTACAGCACAATCAGGCTTGCTTTCATCCCTGGGAGAATCACGGGGCAAGTCTTCTTGGAACATGTTTCTGGTCACAGAAGAAAGATGATGACTGGGAGTAAGTGTAAATCACAGATGACCAAGCTGACAATGTGTTTTGGATGAAATTACTAGGTCTGCAGAAAAGGGGAGAAAAATGGATGTCAGATACCTTGACTTTAGCAAGGCTTTTTATGCAGTCTCCCTCAGCATTGTTAGAGTCCTAAGTTGGGATGTGCCAGTCTGAATGAACATCTGTCTACATGGGTGGAAAACTTGCTAGATTGTCAAGCCTGCAGGCGATGGTTAATGGGTTGTACTCTATACGGATGCTGGTGGCAAGTGGAGTACTGCAGAGGTCTGGTTTTTGGGTGACCTGGACAATGGAGAGAAAACAAGTGTCATTGAATTTATAGATGACAGCAACATGTGTAGTGTAGTCAATCAGTATGAGGGCAGGATTGTTGTTCAGAGGGAGCAGGAGTGGTAGAGGCCTGTGTGAACCTCATGAAATGCTGCAGGGGCCATGCAGGATCCTGCACCTGGATGGACCAACACGCAGCACTCATGCAGGCTGGGGACTGACTGGCAGGGGAGCAGCTCTGCTGAAAGTACCTGGGAGTCCTTACGGACAGTACTCTTAAGTCAACAGTATGCTACTCTGAGTCAACAGTGCTCTGTGGCAGCCAAGAAGGCTTATAGCATCCTACGCTGTTTTAAGAAGCACTTAGTTAAGCCAGTAGATTTAAGTAAGTGTTTATTTTCTTGTACTTGGCACTTGTTCAGTGATGTGTATAATACTACATCTAGTTTGTGGCCCATCCAGTTCTGGCGAAGTGTTGGCAAGTTTGAGCAAGTTCAGCAGAGTTCCTGGGAAAGTGCTGATAAATTTGAGCAAGTTCAGCACAGTGCCACCAATGTGGTCAGGGGCTGGACCACAATTCCTCTGAGGAGATGCCAAAGAAACTGGGTTTGTTCAACTCCAGAAAGGGCAGGCTTTTAGAGTACCTAACAGCAACTGCCAGTACCTGAGGGGATATTGATAAGAAGGGTAAGCCAGAAGGTGGACTGAGGTGGCTTAGTGGGATATCAGGTCCTAAACTGAAGCAGGGGAGATTCTCTCTGTGTATGAGGAAAACTATTTCTGCCTCTAAGCATAACTAATCACTAGGACAGGCTGCATGAAGTCTTCATGGAGTTTCTATGCTTGGAGGTTTTTAAGACCTGACTGGAGAAAGTCCTGAATGACCTGTCTAGAATTGAATGTTAACCTTCACTGAGGAGGGTTAGAGACCTCTGGGGCTCCCTCCCCAAGTTAGCCTGAGTGAGTCTGTGTGTCTTAGGAATTGTGGATGGTGGCTCATCTCTAAGCAATGACTGATACCACTGTGAAGTTAAGCAGTGAGATACATGCTGGAGGACTGTAGCTCTCCTGTGATCTCTTTTTCAGAACCCTCTGCTATGCAGAACAGCACCCTGACATCCACGTGTGCAGCTGACTGTGGTGTAACTGAGGGAGGTGAGTGCCTGTTCTGTTGTGGGGAGCTGTCCTGAGGGAAAGGTGTTGGCTTTCTGATCTTAGCTGATGATGTTGGCAATATGTTGAGTTGTAGCTAGTAGCTCACTCCTATGCAATAGCCAGTACTTTGAAGCTGAACAAGGCAGAGTACTGTAGTTGTCTCCTGATCTCTCTTCAGACACCTTGAAGGAGAACAGCAGCTTGCTGGCCGAGCATGGAGATGACTGTGGTGTGAATGAAGCAGGTAAGTGCCTGTGCTATGGAAGCGGTCTTTGTGAGTTGTGACTTGCATAATGCTTCTTGATGTGAAGTTATGGGTGGCACCATGGGTGCTGAGTGCCTTCTGTGCTTGGCCTTTGCAGGGTCTGGAAGGGGTCATGAGGACAGTGCAAAGTTGGGCATGGAGGAGAGAGGGAAGGTGTTGTATGATGGTCCCATGAGGTGGACAGTGTTGGTCAGGACTATTATTGATGCCAAACAAACGGCCCAGCTGAGTCAGATTACTCTTGATCCATCTGAGCTGGAGAGGACAAAGTGTTGTAAGCTCTAGGATTGTCTAAGTATTACCTGTTGTCCCTTCAGAAGTCACCCAGGATGCAGAAGGTGGAAATGGGGAGCACCTGAGCAACTCTTCCAGCTGCAGTAAATAAGGTATGTGAGGGTGGAGCTCCCTGTGTCTGGGGAGAGTGTGCAGACTGGCACAGAGGTTGTGAGAGGCAATGCTGGGCCAGGGTGTGTATGACCCTTGACCCCTTCTTGCTCAAGTAGAAAATTAGTGAGGAGTGGCTGGAGAGCTGCCAGTCAGAGAGGGACCTGGGGGTGTTGATTGACAGCCGGCTGAACAGCAGCCAGCAGTGTGCCCAGGTGGCCAAGAAGGCCAATGGCATCCTGGCTTGTGTCAGCAATAGCGTGGCCAGCAGGGACAGGGAAGGGATCTGACCCCTGTGCTCGGCACTGGTGAGGCTGCACCTCGAATACTGTGTTCAGTTTTGGGCCCCTCACCCCAAAAAGGCCATTGAATGACTCGAGCGTGTCCAGAGAAGGGCAACGGAGCTGGTGCAGGGTCTGGAGCACAGGTCTGATGGGGAGTGGCTGAGGGAACTGGGGAGGTTTAGTGTGGAGAAGAGGAGGCTGAGGGGAGACCTCCTGGCCCTCTACAGCTCCCTGAAAGGAGGGTGCAGAGAGGGGGGATGAGTCTCTTGAACCAAGGAACAAGCACCAGGCCAAGAGGGAATGGCCTCAAGCTGCGCCAGGGCAGGGTCAGGCTGGCTCTCAGGAAGTATTTCTTTGCAGAAGGGGTTGTTGGGCGTTGGAATGGGCTGCCCAGGGCAGGGGGGGAGTCCCCATCCCTGGAGGGGTTGAAGAGTCGGGTTGACCCAGCGCTGAGGGATCTGGTGGAGTTGAGAACGGTCAGTTTGAGGTTCATGGTTGGACTGGATGATCTTCAAGGCCTTTTCCAACCCTGATTATTCTGTGATTAGGAGGGAAGAAGTTTATGTGTGGTGGGCACATGCACATGTGATGTGTGCTAGGGAGTCAGATGTTGGCAATGGATGGTTCTGAAGACTGGCCAGTTTAGCCAGTTTAAAACTGCAGGGTTAAATTTTACTAGCATTCATTAATAACACACCTCTTGCTTGTGCTTGCACTTTTACTTAATAAGTGATAAAGGCTTATAGGCCGAGGTATCAGTAAGGCAGTATATTTCTGTGTCAGTAGATTTCTGAACTGCAGTGCTACCTTGTTAATTATGAATGCTATTGAACATCATATTGTGTAACACTGAAGGGTTGGGGGGTTTTATTGCTTAGGTGTGCCCCTGTGTTTTCTTTGGTCACAAAGAATTCAGAGTTTACTTAATTTGTGTTTTTTCTTGTGGTTTGTTGTTTTTTAAACCTATGTGGCCATGGTGGGAAAGCTAAACAGACCAGTGGGCCTGAGGGCTGACATGTGGAATGAGGAAACTGATTATTACCCTGTATGGGAGAGTAGGTGATCAACACTATATCTTATGGATATTAGTGAAATTCAGGCTGCAGAGATGCAGTGTTTCACAACGATTGTTTCATATTCCGTGAGTTAGAACCTTTACTCAGTCATCAGTTCTGCATTTACTATGGGGGCATAACAGACTTCCATTTACCTGTCTCCAAAGCTGTTTTGCCCTCTCTGTGTTTTCTCCATGGTACATGTGCAGACTAGAACATCTGTGAGGTCACACGGCTGCTTCTTGGAGTACATCAACATGGAGAATATCAAAGCTCAGATTAGTCCTGTCCCAAATCTGATAACAGAAGAATGTAAGGGCTATCCTTTAATAAACTGTACAAGCAAGGACTTACATTGGTCTATCATCCATCCAGACCAGAATGCCATTTGTGTAGGTTTGGGGTTTTATTTCTGGAGTAGAGAAAGCCTATGGAATGCTAACTGGTTTCACTCTTGTTACTGATTACTTTTACATTGATTCCCAAGAAGCGTTAGAGATCATAGGTTTGGAGCTGAGATTGTTTACTTTGTAGTGAAAAGTCTTACTGAGACATCTAAATCTGGCAAAGAAAGGACAAGCCCTTGACAAGAGAGCAATTACTACGCTCTGAGTTTGGCTTCCAAAGTACCTGGTAGTATTGCAGAAAGTATTGCTGAACACTTATCTGTGGAAAATCCAGAGTTTCTATCTTTGACACAGGAAGGTTCCGGGCAGAATATTTGAAGCTATAGCAGACTGCTTTATCTCAAAGGCCTTGGTCCTTGTGACAGCCAGGTGGTGGGGGCAGATTAATTTCCCCGTCCTAGTAGATTCAGTGGCAGCATGGAGAAATGAAACCATCTGCCATCAATAATTGTGAATTTCTTGATTCCCAAGGAATATAAGTGCACAACCTGCTTAGAAAGAATCTCACTGGAGTTGCGTAAGACTTTCAGAATTAAAACTGTAGGTATATATGTAATAAAACTTTCTCACTGCTGGTGTGTCTGCAAATGTTACACAGATTAAGATGATACTGAGAACAGATGCTGAACTTCGAATCCACCTAATGAGGAGAATCAAAGTATCTGGGTTTGAGACTTGCTGGAATTTACTGTAGTTCAAGCATGCTCTACTCTGACTCTAGGGAGCTCTGTCTTTCCTGTGAATGGGTGAAAATTGTTCCATGTAGACTGTAATTTGTAAGATGGCTTGAGCCAATCTGGCCACTTACTATGACTAAAAGTGTAGGTCTTGCTGTTTGGGAAAGCTCTGATGTTCGTCACCCCTCTGTGAGCCAGTTTAACTACCTTGTGTAGCAGGAAACTGACCCAGGAGGGTGAGGAGGAAAATCTGAGTGTTCTTCTGCTGGACTAATAACTTAAGTCTGGTCATAAAGGGCTCTGATAAGCACTGGGCTGACATACTGAGGGAATGGGATGCTGGTCAGCTGTGGATTCAAAGTGAGAAGGAAGGGCAGGAAACAGGGAAAGGGGCTGGGGGTGAGTGAGGCTGTTGCAGTGGTAGGAAGACAGGCTGAAAAGTGTAAGTGCAATGTATATAGAGTGAAACTGTTCTCTCACCATAAAGCTTTGATGAACTTTGACCATGTCGTAGAACAGCCCTAGTTTAACTGAGAATGAGCCTGATAGTAGAGGGCATGTGCTGGTTTCCCAGAGCTCAAAGTAGCTACTTTAAAGGTACTTGACAACTAGATGTGAAATTAGGTCAGCTATAGCAAATAAACTGGGTGAGGGAGGAAAGGAACAGATGGAAAAAAACGGGTTTGCTATTTGTAAAATGAAAGAGGTGACCTCCTTGCAGTCTACATCTTCCTCAAAGTGGGCAGAGGGGTGGGAGGCACTGATCTCCTCTTACTGGTGACCAGTGACAGGACATGAGGAAATGGAATGAGGCTGCATCAGGGGAAGTTCAAATTGAATGTTAGGAAAAGGTTCTTCACGGACAAGGGTGGTCGGTCACTGGAACAGGCTCCCCAGGGAAGTGGTCACAGCACCAAGCATGTCGGAGTTCATGGAGCATCTGGATGATGCTTTTAATCGTGGCTTAATTTTAGGTAGTCTGGAGAGAAGCAGGGAGTTGGACTTGATGATCCTTACAGGTCCCTTCTAACTTGAGATATTCTATGATTCTCTGAAGGTTTTTTTTTTTCCAAATTTATTATCTGAGTCACCAGAAACTTCTTGTTTTGAGACTTTTGGTCTGACTTAAACATTTAAAAATAAAATTTAAGAAGCTTTTAGAAAATGTCTACTATAAGTCAGTGTGTATCAAAGCATTTCTGTTTGGTAAAAAAGGAAGTTTTCAGATTGACTGAAAACTATTTTCCTTTTCTCAAAAGAATTGAAAAAAATGTTGTTTTGTCTGTCATACAGCCCTTAGTTAAGTGGTGTAACAATGAGTATTTCATACTGCTTTCTGCTTTGTGTGGTAGATCAGTGGTCTCCAAACTTTGATTGCACATCCCATCAGTAAAATATTTTGATCGTACACACCCAATTTATGTATATTTTATTTGTAAATTGTATACATGTGCTGCCATACTCAGTATTATATATATTATAAAAAATGCATTGAAAAAGGGTGAGATAAAGATGAGATAAAAATAAACTTTTAAATTTAAAATTTTATTAATAGTGCAAAAATATTTTCTTCCTGCACTGCAATGGATTACTTGGTGCACACCTCACTTCAGAGACCACTGATGCAAATAATCCTTTTAAATATTCTCAGAATTCAGGAATGTGGAAGCTAGTGGCACCTTACTGCTGCAGAGTTTTCTGTTGTGCCAGGTTTGATTGTTCTGTTGAATTATCAGCCAAGCAATGACATTATGCTGGGTTTGTGTGTGTGGCAGGGGAGGGGGCTACAGAGGTGGCCCCTGTGAGAAGTTTCTAGAAGCTCCCCCAGCTACAAGTCAGAGCTCCTGTTGGCCAAGGCCAAGCCAGTTGATGGTGGCTGCACCTCTGTGACAACATATTTAAGAAGGGGGATCTGAGAGGGGGTTGGGACTGGTGAGGAGGAGTTACGAGAAGGGCACCTGTATGAGCATCGAGGTCAGTGGAAGGGAGGAGGAGGAAGGGGGGGAGGTGTGCCAGAGCATGGAGCCCCCATGTATCCGTGGTGAGATGGCAGGACCCTGCCACCCATGGAGGAGGAAGGGGAGGGATGGAGGGAGGTGTTTTAAGATATGGTAGCACTTCTCACTGTACCTTAATTGTTGGTTTTGTTAGTGTTTGAGTTAGTGATGTTCTTGGTTTTTCTTCCTCTAATGAGCTTGTCTTTTTTGCCTGTGACTCTTAAATGGGTCATTGACCCCTCCCCGTCTTTATCTTGATTCCTGAGCCTTTTGTTTAATTTTTCTCCTTCCCAGCACTGGGGTTGAAGGAGTGAGTGAAAGGCTGCCTACCGCGACAGATATTCAGATATTTGCTGAAGACAATGCTGAAAAGAGGGAAAAAGAAATCTTAGAATGTGAGAAAATATGGATGAGTGGAAGGGTGGGAGGGGGTTAGGAGTGAGTATAAGAAACCTGACGCTGTGATGCTGATGAAACTGCTAATGAGACTGTCATAAAACAAGGGAACAGACTTGAAACAGGGCTGTGTAGCTGGAGAGGAAGCTGTGGTATCTTGTAAAAACTGAGTCAGATCCTGTTAGTTGCCAAGGAGTAATACTGAAGACCAAAGGAAGTAAGTCAGTATGTTATTCCTGGCCTACAGAATGTGCTGCTTTGCAAGGGCTGTTTATTTGGTTCAACTCTGATCCTATATCGTGCTAAAAGGTTTAGCATCTGAAATAGTGATGCTGTTACGTCATGTCAAGACACTGGATGTAGCTGTGCTTTCTTTGGTGCTGTTTGCAAGCTGTGTGGGGACAGAAAATTTTGCATCTTCTGTGGGGAGTGTGAAACCTGATGCTTATCACCACAGCTATAAAATGAGAGGAAAACACTAGTTTCATATTCAGGCTCCCTAACTGCATAAACACAAGCAAATAGCAACACCACACCCCCCACCCCCAGGCTGGCTTCTCAATCACTTTCTTTTATCATCAAGCTGGCACAAGTCAGCTGTAGGTAAAGCAGTAAACCTGCTTTTTATTTTAAGGATACAAATCATAATAATACTTCAGGCCTGTACAGGAACCTTGTGAGAACCAGACTAGGGACATCTTTCTTTTTCTTGTTGTCTACAGAGATATGTACCATGTGTCACCATATGCTGCTCTCCTAGACTGTCTTCTGACATCTTATTCTAGCTTGGAGTGATGCTGAGCTAGAAACTAGTGGAAGGGAGGGGTAATGCTATCAAAATAGGAGCAAAGGCTGAATGACACAGTGCCTTGCCACATCCTGTTGGTTCCCCTTATATTGTTGCTCTATGTGCACCAAGACAGAAACACTGATGTAAGTGGGCCTTATATGTGCTTTGCTGGAAATCAGCCTGGTTAGAGTTGGATGCATGTTGCATGCAGTGAGCTAGGCTGGGCACATAGTCTTGAATTTGCTGGATTCTAACTTTCTGCACTGTAACTTCCCTTTGCCTTCAGTTTCCTTGCATGTCAAATAAGAGCTCTATTTGCAGTCCTCAAAAGAGTAAACTCCAAAAGCACGTGGCCTTACTGCATGGAAGAAATAGCAGCAGCATCACGTGCATGTGTGGTGCACAGCTGATACTAAGATTATGCCCCTGAACCTCTGCAAAACAGTAGTGCCTTAAGTGTCTAGTTTTGTGATCCAAAGTCATGGAGTCAGAACAGCCTCCCAGGTTACCAGCTGCCTAGTAGGTGGCTGTCAGTAAGCACTAAATGTTCTTAACCTGCTCCAGTTGCAGAGGAACGTGTTTAAACCATAAACAGATAATTTGGGTGAAAGGGCTAGTGGCTATCAGGTACTATGGGTTACAAAGCTGCTGGGATTGGATTGGATTGGATCATGTGACAGTGTCTTAATTCATCTTCACGCTTCATTAGTATTTGAAGCCTGCACTATTCTTGTATAACTAGTTTAATTTCTAGGAGAGAAGACATAGCAACTTACCTGCATGCTTTTCTTTTTCTTTTGCTTCAGATCTTAAATTATAAGCAAATAATTGCTTTGTGGACTACACAACAGTGGAAGAGAAGCAGTAAAATTCAACGGTGAAGGAACTGTTGTTGTTTTCTCTTAGAGGTTTCCCACGAGCACTGAAGTCATCCATAAAGAACTGTTGAAGACTAGCTGAGCTGTTTCCAGCGCCTGTTTTTCTTTTCTCAGAAGAGACAGCCTCCGCTTCTGGTGTCATTGCATGAAGATAAATAGGCTGAATCGTGGTCAAAATATTTGGAATTGTTTTGTATCTTTTTAACAAACAGTGCTGTACTAACACAAAATGTAAGAGTGAAGACTTTTTTTATAACTGATACTTAGAAATTAACAAAGGCATATCCATTTGCATGAATGTGGATAAATCGAAAACTAGTAAGCTTTCCATGCAGTTTTGGATCAGTACCTTTTTACAGACAAAAGACAGACAGTTCATCCTTCAGCAGTTCAAGATGGATGGAAGTTTGCTAGTTCTCTAGCAGGACCTCGATGCTCCAGACAAATATTCAAGACAGCTATCTCCTGGAGTTGGCAGAAGACTGTCAAACTGATCATCTCCTGATGGTGGTTGACTTTGTGATAAAGCTACAATTCAGTTCGCTGTTGCATTGTAACAAAGCTGCTTCTATTAGCATTGTTTTGGGGTTTTTCCTAGAACTTCGGATATTTTTTTCACTTTTGGGGTTGGGTTTTTTTATGTCTTAACTGCTTCACATTATTCTAAGACAATGTCAACCTAACTATTTTTAAAAAATAATATATTTTTAGGTTGCTTGTGATTGGAAAGAAAACTTGAAAACTGAGGTCATATGTACACTGAAGCTCAAAAAGAATGAAAGAGCGAAGAATATCATATATTAATGTTTTCAGAGCATCAAGCTATGGAGCATGTTCTGTGAATTCTGCATGCTAGTTTATGAAAGTTGAAAGTTGATTGTGAACTTGGTATGTGTAAAGAATCATGAAGGTTTGACAATGATAACCAGAGATCAGAAACTCCCTTTTCATCTTCCCTTTTGCTTCAAATTTCACCCATTATCTCACGTTCCCCCACCAGGCACTACTATGAAGAACATGTCTTGATGATTTGTGGGTACAGGAAGGCTGCTGTTAGGGACCCTTCCAAAGCCTACTCTTCTTCAGGCTTGGACAAGTATGGTGCTTTCAGCTTTTCCTCCTAGTACAAGTGCTCAGACTGTCTTGGTAGCCCTCCATTGAATTTGCTCCACTTTTATTGATATCTGTCTTCTTCAAGGGGTCTAAAACTGGATGCAGTATTCTAAATTCAGTCTAATGTGTGCTGAGTAGAGGAGGGATAATCATTACCCTCAATCTACTGTCTAAGCTCCTGTTATGCAGCCCAGCATGCTGTTGGCTGCCTTTGCTGCCAGGGTACACTGCTGGCTCATGTTTGGCTTGCTGCTTACTGAGATCACCCTCCTTCCTTTCAGCAGAACTGCTCCCATGCCAGCCAGACCCTAGCTTCTGTCATTGCAAGTGACATCTGCAATGCTTCATATTTGTCCTTTTAAAATTTTTATCTAGGTCTCTCTGACAGCCCAGGCCTCTAGCATGTTGACTCATTCTCCCCAATTTGGTGTCATCTGCAAACTTGACAAGACTGCACTTTATCCCCTCCTCCAGACCACAGATGGATGTTAAAAGGGACTAGTTCCTGCAAAGACCCTTGTAGTACTCCACTTGTTTCAGCTACCAGCTAGAGTACAACCTGTTAGCCACTATCATTTAAGCTCAATCATCCAACCAGTTCTTTACCTATCTATAGAATCATAGAATGGTTTGGGATGGAAGTGACCTTTAAAGATTGTCTAGTCCAAACCCCCTGTCATGGCCAAGGGCGTCTTTCACTAGATCAGGTTGCTTAAAGCCCCGTCCATCCTGGCCTTGAACATTCCCAGTGATGGAGCATCCCCAGCTTCTCTGGGAAACCTGTTCTTGTGTCTCACTACCCTCATCATAGAAAATATCATCCTTATGTCCAACATAATTCTATTCTCTTTCAGTTTTAAACTGTTGGCCCTTGTTCTGTCACTTCAGGCCCTGGTAAAAAGTCTTTCTCTGTTTGTCTTATAAGCCCCATATATGTATTGAAAGGTTGCAATAAGATCTTGCAAAGCCTTCTTTTCTCCAGGCTGAACAATCCCAACTGTCTCAGCCTTTCCTCTCAGGAGAGGTGTTCTATCCCTCTGATCATCTTCATGGCTCTCCTCTGGCCTCACTCCAACAGATCCATGTCTATCTTGTTCTGGGGACAGTACTTCAGGTAAATTCTCACAAGAGCAGAGGCAAGGGAGATGATCACCTCTCTTGACCTGGATATGCTTCTTTTGATGCAGCTCAGGATACAATTGGGTTTCTGAGCTGTAAGTGAACACTGATGGTTCATATCTAATTTTTTATCCACCAATATATCCAAGTACTTTTTCACAGGGCTACTCTCAATCCATTCATCTCCCACCCTGTACTGATATTGGGAATTGCCCTGACCCACATGCAAGACCTTGCACTTGGTCTTGTTGAACTTCATAAGGTGCATGGGGCTCACTTTTCAAGCCTGTCCAGGTCCCTCTGGATGACATCTCTTCCCTCAAGTTTATCAACAGCACCACTCAGCTTGGTGTCACCTGCAAACTTGCTGAGGGTGCACTCAATTCCACTCCATCTTTCATTGATGAAGGTATTAAATAGTATTGGTCCCAGTGCAGACCCTTGAAGAACACCACTCATTACTCTTTTCCACTTTGACATTGAGCCATTGACTGTAATTCCTTGGACATGACCATCCAGCCAGTTCCTCACCCATACAACAGTCCATCTAGTTCACCCATCGAAATCCTAATGTTCTAACTTGGATACAGAAATATTATGGGAGATGGTGTCAAAAGCCTTACTAAAGACAAAATATTGCTTTCCCCTCACCCATAAATCTAGTTATTTCATCATTACAGGAGACAGTTGTGTTGGTTAGGTGTGATTTACCCTTAGTTAAATGTATGCTGACTGTTCCTAACCACTCTCTCTTTCACAAGCCCAGAAGTGTGTCCCAAAAGGCCCAGCTCCCTGATTCTCCCAGGGATGAATGTGAGACTGACTAGCCTGTAGATTCCCCAGGTTGACTTTGTTGCTTTTTGAAAATGGATGCACATTTTCTAGTTTTTTTCCAGTCTAGTCAGGGATTTCTTCAACCTCAATGACCCTTTAAAGGTGATAGCACTCACAGTGACATCAGCCAGCTCTCATAGCACCCTTGAACAGTTCCCAACTACACCAAGGCAGCCGTTTGTGACCACGTCCCCATCCAGTCCTCCTCTGTCAGTAAGCAGCAGATACAGCTGCATGTCAGCCTTCACTGGTGCATCTGGTAGCCTCTGTGAAGCTCTGCCTGCTCCTGCCCAGAAATCTTCCTGATTGCTTGAATTGTTGCCTTGGCTTTCCAGCAGATGTTGGAAGCTCCTTCATATGTGTCTGTGGGTCAGTCTTCCTCAAACTATTTAGAGAAGCCTTCACCTCCTTCCAGTAAGGATCTGCTGGCCTCCATACTCCAACCATGTCATCTCTACTGGCCTTTCCTAGGAATGTGAGCCCCAAGCTCTCAGCCAGCCTGTCATTTGCTCTGTATCAGAGCTCTGCATGTTCAAGGCACTCTCACAGGGAGGGCAGTCTCTCTTCTCCTCCTCCTTCCATCAGTTTCCTCTAGAGCTTCTACTCATCCACCACAGTGCTCCAGTCATGCAAGCTGGCTCACCAGTGTCTCAGCTGTAGGTCAATAAACTCATGGAGAACTATAATTCTTCCTGCTTGCTTCCCATGCTGCATGCATTTGTGCATGTACCTTCATGCCTCCTTCTGCCATTTTTTTTTTTTTTTAAACTTCTGAGGTCTGTTTTGTTCCTGTCACCCCATACCCTTTACATATCCACTACTACTTAACTATGAGTTGTGATCTCTCTTCCCATCATTCCTACTTCAGAGCTTTCCTTATGAGGTTGGCCAGCCTGTTTACAAAGATTTTTACATTAGACAGCTCCATAGGACATTTAAACTACTCCTGTGTGTTTTTTCTGGTAGTGAAACCTAACTAACGGGTACCAGCAGTTTGAGAAGAATCAAAGTGACTTATGCCTGCACCCTGTCGAGCTGTAGGAAGTAGACCCTACAGAAAACTTGAGATCTTTCCGTATAGCTGCACATACCATTTAGATGTTTTCTTCCACTCACACAATTTCTTCTGCTCTTTGCAGCTGTACTGCAGCAGTGTTCGATGGGATCTTTTGTTAGAGCTAGTCCACCTTACCTCTACTGCTGACTGTAAATATTTTCTCATAATTTATTTTAAAAAGTTTGCTAAGATGTAAAATCTTTGATATGTCTTTTTGTAATATATACCAGCACTTTTTATTTAACCTTGAAAATTGGTAACTGATCCCCAAAATAATCATTAACCCAAAGTGATTTATTTTATATATATATATATATATATATATTTTAAGTCTTAACCCCTGAGCCAAGTGTCCTTCTCCATTGCACCTTCCACGGGTTTATCAGGATGATGCTGTCTACTTCTTAGGAACATTTTAACAAGTTTCCACACAGAGATGCCCTTTGTCATGTGTACTATGGTAAGAGTAAACCTGTAGCTTGTTTTCCTGCTTGGACAAAGGCTTGCTTTCTGTAATTAATATGAGAAATAATGGCCAAAAAAAATGTTGTTTAGAGGAACTGGAATTCCTTGACACGTGATATCATCAACTTTCCTAAAGCAAAAATCAACAGTCTTCAAAAATAGTAAGCAGTTGTGGTTAATTAACCACAGTTGCTGGAAGCCTTCAGCATAATTAGTAGAATTGTGGAGCTTTATCAGAAATAGAAAACCCCACTTGTGGCAGGCTGATGTAAGACCATGAACTGTGGGCTCTGCAGAGTCTCACTGTCTGCTTTCACCCACTCACTTTGCAGAGTGTCTGCTGTGCATGAGAAGCTTCTACCTACTGGTAGAAGGATAGATTTTACAGTCTTCAAAGCAAGAATGAAGCTCAGGGATTTTTTTATTGGGTTTGTTTTGTCTTTGGTTTTCATAATGGGTAGATTTTATTTTTTTCCATAGGGACATGAAGCCAGACATTTGGGAAAATAAATTGACCTGACTTCCTGACAGTTTTGGTGACAGCATTTGAAGTGCCATTCCCCATGCCCCTCTCTCCAAATGTCTCCTGAGCAATAACTAAAGAATAAACATTTTTTCTGTGAAAAACTTGTGTCCAATCTTCTCTTGCAGCAAACACAGAAATAGGTGGTTTTTCAGTAGCAAAGAGTAGAAGCTTACTCAAGATGCAAACAGTTACTTCTGGCTCGTGTACGACTTGAGTCCAGGAACTGCTGACTGTATTCCAGAAAGTGAGCCTGCCTTCTGACACCACAGAGTCCCAGCTCATGCTGACATCGAGACCTGATTGCTGCTAATAACAGAAACTCACAGTGAATAGAAGCTGCTGCTAAGAACTTATGCTCACAAGACACATCCCAGTTGATTCCTCAGTCCTGACTCTCCTTTTCTTTAATACTAGATTTAACCTACAAAGCAACGCCTGCAGGAGATGTTACTCCTCATTTATCCCAGAATAAATGAGATCAGAACTTGATTTCATGGATTTTGGGCATCAAACTCAAACCACAGTCATCAAGGCAGCTTTGTGTTGTGCTGATGTGCACAGGCTAGCTTTCAGTTGTTTGCAAACACCCTGTCCTGGATCTAGCTGTTGCTGGTTGAAAAGTTATACCATCCTCACTTTAGCACTGCCTGCACAACTGTTGGGAACAACTCCTGTAGATAGATTACAGTGTGAAAGGAGTTGTGTGAGTTGAAAGAGCCTTTTGTCAGTGCCCAATTGCTAACTTCATATGGAGCTACACAGGCAAAGCTGTGAGGACTGGCTTCCAGGAGCAGTACTGCAGCAAAAGCTAGGGACAGCAGCAACCCCAACAGGCAGCACAGTTGTCTTTTGAGCATTTATGCCTTAAAACGGGGGGCTGGTAACACCTGTCAGGCTGCGAGGAGGTGATGCACACTTTATGTGGCACACTACTGCTGGAACACAGGTTTGTGACACTTTTTGAGCAGTAACAGGTTAATTTACCAAAGCAGAAAGGGGAGGGTGAGCTTGTGTGCTCCCACTGTCTCTGGGTGCAGTTTGAACTGTGGTGTAGGTACGAGGACATAAAACATTTCTATGGACCCTAATGTGGGTCCATTTCATCCATGTGAATGAAATTCGAAGGAGCTTTGCCTTAGGGTTGACCTAAAGGGGACTTTCCTCCTTAAAAGGTGGTGAGTAGAGTTGACTGTGGGACACCATGTCCACAGTCACAAGAGAAATCAGTGTATGCTATGCCCAAGCTAAGCTTCTATTTTGTCAAGTTTTATATGACCCAAATATAAAACTTTTCTACAATGCAGCTTCTGCCTCATCCCTGTTGAATATCTGAGGATGGGCCTGTGAGTCTCAAAACTTGTCAATTTTTTCTAGCAGTTAGACAAACTGTGCCTCACTACTTAGGGAAAAAAAAAATCCTAGCTTTATAAATCGCAAGTTTCTTTCCCATTTAGCCTGTGTTTTCCTCTTCTATCATAGCCGGTTGTGCTTGTTTGCCATTCCTCTTCCTTGGGGAATTTGGTGCTCTTCAACTATGCATTTTTGATCCTTGTTTGGTTCCTGGGGGTGAGGGGGAACAAAAGAGTGGAGAGTTGGATCAGGAAGATGGAACAGAGGGGAACTGAGCGATGAAGGATAGGTGGAGGTAAGTGCAAATAAGGTGCAGAAATTCTATGCACAAGACTGCAAACCAGACTGGTTTTTAGGGCTCCAAGGGTAAATTCATCCTGGAATCATCTCTTGAAATGCTTGGCCTATGCTGCAGTGTCTTGTAGTCCTGGCAAGAGAGGAGCCATGCCTTTCCACCAATACCAATATTTCCCTGTTAGTTCTGGTTGCGAATTGCGTACAGAGAGGTTTCACATCCAGTTGCAAGTTCTCAGTTTTAAGTGAATGTTAAGCCAACCTAAAAAAACTAACTAAACTAAGCAAGGAAAGTCCTTGGTGGTGATGGTTATATCACTCAAACCAGAGGACTGTCCCAGGGAGACAACATCTGAAAAAGAGTCGAGAAGCGTTGGGTGCCAGAGTGGCAGCCTGCCAGCGTTTTCGGGGTGGTGTGGCTCTGCTGGGGCAGGACATACCACAGGGCAGGACCCAGCAGTGCAGGGGATTATTCCCAGGTTCCCTCTGCTGCATGGAGAGGGAAGTTGTCTAAGGAGAGCCATTGGTTTGGAGGGAGAGAAAAAGGCACCTGAAGGTGAATCACTGAAGGATTAGCTGTTTTGCATTAATAGCTGTAGGGGCAGGTTGCTGCCTGCTTACTCAGACAAAGGGCATGTGGTGAGTGTGGGGGTGGCTTACCCTGTGGGAGGGTTTGCTGCAGATGTTTTCAAGGGCCTTTTTTTTTTTTTTTTTTCTTCCTAAAGGAATTAGAAATTGGCTAAGACATGCGACGTTTTATATTATCTTTAGAACATCAGAAAGAAGGGCCTGGACTCTTGGGGGAAATTAGCTGTATCGTCATGACTGAGGGTAACGCAAGGCCAGCAGGCAGGATGGGCTGAAGTGGGGATTTGAGAAGAAGAAAACTATAAGGAACTGGCTGTGGAACTTTGAGGTTAAAGGCCTTTATGGCTCAGGGCCAGCCTATGGGGGTGGGGGACTTTTTCCTTGTAAAAAGGTGCTGTGACCCAGGTATGCTGCAGATCACATCTCTCATTACATGTAGACTGCTGGTGCCCCCTACTTGTGTGCTGGGCTCTGAGGAGCCTCCTACTTCCCACCTCCACTGCTTTTCTTTTCCTCCCAGTGC